TACTCTGTAAATCTTCACCCAAATCCTAATAAAAAAAAAAAAAGAAGAAGAAGATAGAAGGAATACACAGAGACACTGTATCAAAAAGCATTAGTCACTGTTCATCCATTTCAGGAGGTGGCATATGATCAAGAACCAATGGAATCAAAGGAAGAAGTCAAACCGGCATTGAAGGAATTGGCAAAAAACAAGGCTCCAGGAATTGATGGAATACTCATTGAGATGTTTCAACAAATGGATGCTGCACTGGAGGCACATAATCATCTACGCCATGAAATTTGAAGCATAGCTACCTGGTCAACTCACTGGAAGAGAACCATATCTGTACCCATTCCAAAGACAGGTGATCCAATAGAATGTGGAAATTATCTAACAATATCATTAATATCACACACAAGTAAAATCTTACTGAATATAATTCATGAACAGCTGCAGCAGTATATTGGAACTTCCAGAAATGCAAGTCGGATTCAAAAGAGGACATGGAATGAGGGATATCACTGCTGATGTCAGAAGGATCTTGACTGAAAGCAAAGAATACCAGAAAGATATTTACTTGTGTCTTATTAACTACGCAAAATCATTAGACTGTGTGGATCATAATAAATTTTGTATAATATTAAGAACAGGAATTCAAGGACACTTAATTGTGTTCATGAGGACCTGTTGATAGACCAGATGGCCCTTGTTCAAATAGGAGAAGGAGATACTGCAAGATTTAAAATAAGGAAGGGAGTGCATCAGGCTTGTATCCTTTCATCACACTTATTCAATCTGTATGCTGAACAAATAATCTGAGAAGCTGGACTATATGAAGAAGAATGCAGCATCAAGATTGCAGGAAAACTCATTAACAACTTTGTTTGCTCAAAGTGAATATGACTTGAAGTACTCACTTATGAAGATTAAAGACTACAGTCTGCAGTATGGATTACATCTCAACATAAGGAAAAAAATCCTCACAACTGGATTAATAAGCAACAACATAGTAAGTGGAGAAAAGATTGAAGTTGTCAAAGATTTCATATTACTTGGTTACACAATCAACACCAACGGAAGCAGCAGTTGAGACATCAGAGGAAGTAATGCACTGGTCAAACCTGTCACAAAAGATCTCTTTACAGTGTTGAAGAGCAAAGATGTTTCTTTGAAGACTAAGGTGAGACTAACCAAAGCCATGTGTTTTCCATTGCCTCATACACATGTGAAAGGTGGACAGTGAATAAGGAAGACCAATGAAGAGTTGATGCTTGTGAGTTGTGGTGTTGTGGAAGAATACTGAAAGTGCCAGAAGAACTAACAATTCTGTTCTGAAGGAAGTGCAGCCAGAATGCTCCTTGGAAGCGAGAATGGCCAGACTTTGTCTCACCTACTTTGGTCATAGGAGCTCTGGTAGCATAGTGCCTATGGCACTTGACTGCTAACCAGAAGGCTGGCGGTTCAAATCCACCAGCCACTCCTCGGAAGGAAGGTTAGCTATGAGTCAGGTCTGACTCGACAGTATATAACAACACCATCACCACTTTGGTCATATTATCAGAAGGGACCCACTCCCTGGAGAAGGATATCATGCTTGGTAAAGTGGAAGATCAGCAAAAAAGACGAAGGACCTCAACAATATAGACTGACACAGTTGCTACAAGGAAGGGCTCAGGAAGAGCAAGGGCTATTAGCCCATGCAAGTCCAGGCAGTGTTTCATTCTGTTCTACGTAGGGTTGCTATGTTTAGGAGCCAACTCGATGCCACCTAACAAGAACAGTTTTAAATTTTGATTACAAACTCAAATGCATACCTGTTATCTTTTTATTTCCCAACAACTTCATATACTAGGAATGAAAGCAATAGAAACAGTAAAATCCAACAAGGATATAGTGAAACCACATGACTATAACAAGTGAGTAGGAAAACATAACCAAAAGTAGGAAATTGTTTTAAGACAAACGAGAGCCAAGAGAATGTCACTCTAACATTATTTATGGGTACATTAATGTATTTTGTTGTTGTTGTTGTTGTTATTTGCCATCGAGTCGGCCCCGACTCAGAGCGACCCCTCCTTGGGTTTCCGAGGCAGTATCACTACGGAAGTAGGAATGCCCAACCTTCCTTCCAAGGAGTGGCTGGTGGGTTTGAACCGCCAGCCTTCTTGGTTAGCAGTCAAGTGCCTTAGGCACTATGCTACCAGACTTCCTACATTAATGTATAAGAAAGGAAATTTTGCTTTGGATCCTAAGGTACAACTAACTAAAAGATTATGCATTTCCATCAATCATATCTAAAGTTTGTGTCCAAGATGAAGACAACAATGTCTTATCATACTGTTAGGAATCTTGATGGTATCATATCACTGACCCATTCTACTACTTCATATATTAAAAATCTTTCTTCCACTGAGTTGTGTCACAAAATTTTTCTACAGGTCACCAAACATCTATGCTTAGGACACATATAATTTGATCTGGTTATTTGATAATAAAAGAATTAATAAACTTTAACTTACTTTTCAACAAACTTTACTCCAGAGATAGGTGATATAGGTGACATAAGTTTCTTACTGACAGTAATAATTCCTGTGAAAGTCACATAATTGCCATCAATCATTAACCTACTTTGTGTGTTAACTCTGTAATATAGCCCTGTAAAATGTGGAGGTGATGATCAACCACATGAAAATTAGACCAAAAAGTATATTCATTAGGTAAAACATTACTGATGGAAACAAAATCAGTGATATTAGTGTGTGGGAGATTAAAAGGAACTTCACATCCTTTTAATTTCAGTCAAATGAAAAGAAAAATAAATTATCCAAATTGAAGGTTGCAACAACCAGCAAGCTATACAAAAAACAGGATGAGGTACAGGAAGGAAATTCATTTTCATGCTTCAATTATTTAATTGGTCCAATGTTTTTAATCATGTTACTGTCTATCTGCAAAGTGCCAAATTGCACTTACTTAATAAGACTTAACTAAACATGGAAACAAAGTTGTATCCTTTGGCTTTATATTTTATTCTTGAAATTTAAAATAAGAAAATAAAAATAAATATTGGAAGGCATATAATGTATTCAAGATTTCAAACTTTAGTAGATATCTTTGAAAATAAAATGGCTAAATAAAGCAGTCTATAAATTTTTCTGTTTGAAAGCCTGGCCAGTACAGGAAGGCAAAATGTTAATAACCCATCAGAGAATACAGAAGTTGATATCACATTTTTGTCACACTAAATCCCAATAGCTGGAAAATAAATAATAGAATACTGAATTTATGGTCAGTGTCAACAATAAGTAAATATGAAATGAATTTTCATTAAAAAATGCGTTAACTCTATCTAAAATAAAATGATTAATTTTCTTCTTCTCCTAACTGGTTTTATATATTTGGGACATCCTTTCATTCTTTCATTCAGAAAATATTCACTGACCACGTGGTGCTAAAACCAGGTGTAGATATTTATACAGAGTGGTTAACAAATCAGTTTTGTTTCTTGTCTTCAAGGGACCTAATCTAGTGAAATAATACCAAAAACCAAACTCATGCTGTTGAGTTGGTCCCAACTCATAGCAACCCCTCCTTGGGTTTTGAGGGAGTATCACTACGGAAGTTGATCACCCAGTCTTCTGTTCGAGGATTGGCTGGTGGGTTTGAACCGCCAGCCTTCTGGTGAGCAGTCAGATGCCTCAGGCACTACGCCACCAGAGATCCCAGTGAAATGATAGCCACGTTAATATTAATAAAAATAACTGCCAAGATACTTTCTGCAACATAAATAAAATGTTCTATAAATGCTAAGTTAACTTAAATTTCTGGTTACACAAGATTTAAGAGTTAATCAGAATACCCTTTCTCCCAAATCTTTAATGTAAAAATTTTTAACATATTATTGTTCCTGTATTTTGGTGAACAAGGTTTATTTACTAGATCAGATTTAATATTTTCTTTGATAATTTAAGGTTCTTGAAGCACCGCAAAGTCATCAGACTGACCATTAACACACATTATACAGAACACGTAATCTGCCAATTATAAATATAGTATTCCTTACATATAAGCAACTACATCTCCTAAGATTTGGCTCAGGGTTGTGCTGCTGGAACTCTTCTTTCCCAGATGACCAGCTATTCATCCAACTGTACCTTCATCACCACATGTAGAGCTAACCTGAAATGTTCCCCTCCACCCCTGCATTACAGCAATAAACCAACATAACTGATTTCTCTTCTGTAGAAAATTACAACATAAAAACCATAAAAAGAATTATAAAATTTACCCTTGTAAGTTCTTTATTTTGCAAGAATCTTATTATCAACATTCCTCGTTTTCTGTCATAAAAGACAAAAAACATGCAAGTATAAATTTAATTTTGACTGTGTGGGATAACAGAATTTTTTAACAGAGAAAGGGACAAAATTTCACAATGTACTGCAATGTTACATATTTCATGAAGTAATAGCCAATATCCGATATGTGGGTTTAAACCTTGTATTACAAAATTTTAGGCTATGAGTTCTGTTTTGATTTGATTGCAACCTTAGTACATGTTCATTGGAAAATAATTTGAGCAATGTAAGTGTAAACAGTCAAAGGTAACCACCACACCACACCACCAAGCCATCACAAACCCTTAGCCCAGTTAACCCACTTCCTCTGCCTCCTTATATTTCCCTAGGGTCCTGAGGAAATGCCCATATAAAGTCTTATTTACATTTGTATATGGAAATTATTTAAAATCTCAGACCAAAATATCCAAATACTTTGAGTCAACTGGTAACCAGAATTTCCTGGGACATGGCTTATTCTTCTATTAAAATTAATTCCAGAAAATGGCATTAAATATTAAAAATGTGTGCATAAATTAAACAGCAGTAACAAGCAAAAGTAATCACACTAATTTCACCCAGCATCTATTAAACAAACATTTTAATTTGAAGTACTACTGAGGACTGAAGAATATACCACACTATTAAAATTTTACTTTAAAAAAAAAATTGTATTAATATTACCTGTCCCAGTCCACACTGACTGACCGTCAGTAAGTGTAACAACAAAACCAGATCCTAGTGTTTTCTCCCAAGATACTTGTAGAAAATGAATTATATCGGGTGTAGAAGCAAGGCAGATTCTGCTTATTTTTTTCTCCATTCTCTGGTCACCTGTTACGGAAGAAGAAAATTAACCCTTTTGCAAGAAACTGTGGTTATCAAGAATGATGGTTTCTTTGGTGGTTTCTCAGCTATATAAAACAGCAAGGAAATAAGGAAATAAGCCAATACCAAAAATCTGGTAACAGAGTTAGGCAACCAATGACCTCAGTTAAGTCAGGCTTGTTCAATATTGATTCAAATGTTAAAGATGAGAAAAGCAGGAGCCCAAACAAGGTAAATGAGTTATGCAAATCACATAGCTGAATAAAAATTACTATCTCCAGCAATATGAAGAATAAATTTTACCTTTTCTCTCCCCTAAGAGTCAATAGGCTCTTTCTCTGGAACAAAAGAAATGATCACAAGAACTTGTGCGGGAGTAGCCTTATCACTGACATATGATCGTAATTAGTGAGGAAAAATTTGGTCAAGTGTCTAGTCTCTGTCTAAAGAAAGACTGTGTGAAACAAAAAGGGAGATTAAGCACTAAGCACATAATAAGAAAATTGCACACCCCAAGAGTTCCCAGTCATGCTTTCTCTAAGAAATGGTACCCAGGTTCAGTGACTCAAATGCCCTGGCCACTGACGCAGGAGTTTCCCTGTAATGGAGATAAGTTATCCGGAGCTATCACAGACCTATGCCAATAAATACTTTTGCATTTTAAAACATTGTACTGAAGTAGTACACACTCAGAAAAGTACATATATCATAACAATACACTTCAGTGAATTTTACAAATTGAACAAACCCACATAATGTAATACCGAGATTAAAAGCAGAGCATTACCACTCCAGAACTCATTCTTATACTCTCTTCCAGTCACTACGGCCCCAGACAGCCTAACTTCTAGCCTAACTTCTAGCCAAGATTAGTGTTTTGAGTGTTTCTGTACTTTGTGTAAATTAGAATCATAGTGGCTGATCTCTTTCATGTCTGAATTCTTTTGTTTGAAAGATGTATCTATATCGTTTCTTTTACTAATGGCCATATAGTATTCCCTTGTATGCATATAGTACAATTTATTTATCCATTCTTCTGCTGGTAGAAAATTCATTATATTTGGTTCAGACGCAAGACAGCATCTGCTAACTTTATTCTCCATTCTCTGTTCACCTTATGGAAGAACAAAATTAACATTTTTGCAAGAAACTGAATTTGGGAATTTGAGTAGTTTCCAAGTTTTGACTACAAAAAATAATGCAGCGATAAACATTCTAGCAAATATCAAAGCATCTCTGTTAGTTATATGACTATGATTAGAATTGTTAGATCAAAGGATACACACACATTCAGCTTTAGTACTATACTACCAAACACATTTTTAGACGGTTGTACCAATTCACACTCAATATACGAGAATTCTGATTGTTCTACACCCTTGCAAATATTTTCCATCTTTTTTTTATTTTAGCAACTTTGGTATGTATGTAATTGCATTGCACTATGGTTTTAATTCACATTTCCCTGATGAGCAAATGACACATTTCATGTATTTATTGGCCATTTGAAAATCCTGTTTTGTTGAACATCTGTTCAAACTTGCCAATGTTTTCCTATGGTTGTCTTTTGTTAATTTCTTTAATCCATTTTCTATGAGTCCATAAATTATATATTATAAATATATAGAGATATACATATACATATACATATTGTGAATAATTACCTTTTCATTCTCATAATGGTATCTTTAGATGAAAATAATTTCTTAATTTTAATGAAGTTTATGTCATGTAATTTACCAATTGTTTTATGATATAGTTTTTTTTTTTACATCCTGTTTTAAGAACTCTTTGTAAACAAGCTTTTGTTGTTCTAAAAGCTTTAATATTGTAATTCTCATGTTTAAATCTGTAATCTATCTGGAATTTTTTTTTTTTTTTTATGGTTTCAGGTAGAAGTCAAGATATATTTCTTTCATTTGGCTATCCAACTGACCCAGTACTACTATTTATGGAACACTATCCTTTTCGAAACTACACTGTAATGTTACCTTTTTCATAAACCATGTGACTGTGTATGTGTGGAGCTGTTTCTAGAAACTTTATTTATTTCCATATTAGTCAGTTTTTCTATGCATATACCAATCCTACACTATCTTCATGCCTATACTTTAAAAATAAGTCTTGATAACTGAGATTGTAAATCCCCTACCTTTGTTCTTCAAAATTGCTCTGATTAACCTTAGTCCTTTGTATTTCATATGAAATGTAGATCAGCTTGTCAATTTCTGCAAAAGCACCTACTGGTATTTTGACTGGTAATTTATGGAGATATAAATCTTTCCTATGTCAAGTCTTCAAAAACATGATAAATGGAGAAAAGATTAAAGTTGTCAAAGACTTCATACCACTTGGTTCTACAATGAACACCAATGGAAGCAGCAGTCAAGGTATCAGACATTATATAGCATTGGGCAAATTTGCTACAAAGGACCTCTTTCAGGTGCTAAAGAACAAAGATGCTTCCTTGAAGACCAACATGCACTTGACATAAACCTTGGTATTTTCAATTGCCTCATATGCATGTGAGAGCTGGACAATGAAAAAGGAAGACGGAAGAAGAGTCGATGCTTTTGAGTTGTGGTGTTGGTGAAGAATGCTGAGACTACCATGGTCTGCTAAAAGAACTAACAAATCTGTCCTGGAAGAAGTGCAGCTGGAATGCTTCTTGGAAGGCAGAATAGCCAGACTTCGTCTCACCTACTTTGGTCATGTTCTAAGAAGGGACCATTCCCTGGAGAAGGATATCATCCTTGGCAAAGTGCAGGGATGACGAAAAAGGGGAAGGCTGTCAATGAGATGGACTGACACAGTGGCTGCTACAATGGGCTCAGGTATAACAAAGATCATGGGGCTGGCACAGGACCGGGCAGTGTTTCCTTTTGCTGGACAAGTCGGAGACAACTCAACAGCACCTAACGACAACATGAGAATAATATGTCTCTCCATTATTTCACTCCTCTTTTTCTCAATACCATTTTTGTTTTTAGACTGGAAGTCTTGTACCCCTTTAGCCACATTGGTGCTTAGGCATTTGCTGGTACATTTTGGAATAATACAAATTAACTCCCTTATTCTGATTCCAGATTTACTAAACTGTGTTCCTTCCAAACTTGTATCTGCCTAGAGAGATGTATGTAATGGTCACAGTTAGTGAGCTATCTAATCCATCATTCTGAGAGATAATCAAATAAACTGCCAGTTTCGTTTTGTACCTCACCTGTGTGAACTTATTTACTATTACCCCATCCCTGAGACCTGATCTTTTTCATATGCATAAATAATAACTTAGCTTTTTTTAAAAAAAAAAACTTCCTTTCCTTCAAAGGTCAGTGTGAGGAATAAATTAAATTAATACATGTAAAATACTAGTATGTATTCAGCTTTCAATAAATCATGGCTGTTATTATTATTTCTATCACAAAGCTAATAACCAGATCCAGGAAAATAATGACTTAAATAACTTTTTAGCTCCTGTGGCTTCCAGCCAAACAAGAGGCAGGTATACAGAGTGAACATTTACTCAGGTAAATACACTCCTTGGAGCCATCAATTGCAGAAGAACAGAATGGTGGTGTTTGCACAGGGAGATAGCCTGGGTGGGGGTGGGGGAGTGGAAGTACTTGGGAGGGAAGGACACAGGAAAGAGATAACTAGGAGGAGGAAGTAGGAAGATATCTGTTACACTGGGGAACTGCAGTCAATATCAAAACATGTATGAACTGCTGTATGGAAAATGAATTTGCTCTGCAAACTTTCTCCCAAATAACAATAATTTTTTTAATAACTAAATAAATGTTACCACTGAGAAACCATACACAAGAGAAAAGCAAACACTACCACTTCATAATAAGCACTTTCTATGGCAAACTGCTAAAACATGTGCCATAGGAAGTGCTTATCATGAAACATATAAACACACTATGAAATGTTGCATTTTACACACAGATCAAAATGTTAAATTGCCAAACCTCAAAAATCTTTATTTTCTTTAAGTCTGTTGTTGTCACTGTTACTCATCACGGAGTTGCCTCCAAATCACGGAGATTCCATGTACAATAGAACAAAGCCTTGCCTGGCCCAGCGCCACCTTCATGATCATCGATATGTTCCAGTCCACTGTGCATTCTGAGTATCTCCCAACCCAGGGGGCTCACCTTACAGCACTATGTTGGGTAGTATTCTGTTACGACCCAAAGAGTTTTCATTGACTAATTTTCAACAGAGGAGCTCTGGTAGCATAGTGCCTAAGGCACTTGACTGCTAACCAGAAGGCTGGCGGTTCAAAGCCACCAGCCACTCCTTGGAAGGAAGACTGGGCAATCTACTTCCGTAATGATACCACTTCGGAAACCCAAGGAGGGGTCGCTATGAGTTGGGTCCAAGTCAACAGCACATAACAACAACAACAATTTTCAATAGTAGACTGTCAGGACTTTCTCGTCTGTCTCAGTCAGGAAGCTCTGTTAAAACTTCTCCACCATCGGAAGTCCCACTGGTATTTAAGATACCAGTGCCATAGCTCCCAGCATCACAGCAACAAAAAACCACCACAGTATAACAAACTATAGAATGTTACAGCTATAGTATGTTGGAGTAAAGGGCACAAAAGCCAAAGAAAACTCCCAAGAATGAAAGAAAAAAAAAAAAAACTAAAATTAAGAGTAGAAGACTCTTCTAAAGAATACAGCCCTCAGTACAGATTATACCTCAGCATAAAAAATAATAATAAAAAAACCTTCACAATGGGACCAATAAGGAATATCATGATAAACGGAGAAAAACTGAAGTTATCAAAGATTTCATTTTACTTGGATCCACAACTAACACCCATGGCGGTAGCAACCAAGAAATCAAACACACATATTGCATTGGGCAAATCTGCAGTGAAAGACTCTCTAAAGTGTTAAAGAGTAAAGATGTTACTTTGAAGGTGCCTGACCCAAGCCATTTTCAATAGTCTCATATGCATATCACAGCTGGATAATGAATAAG